TTAGCATAATGATTCTAATGTATCTTTAATTTTTGTAAATTAGCCAGATCTAGAATTATACATATACATGTACAACATAACTACTTTCAGTTGTTATGATTCTTCAAACAGAGCAGAGTAAAAGAAAAACAAGAGTACAAGCATAGCTTAGAAAAATTTTAGAAAAAATAACCATTTTCTCAGCCTAGATTTGTAAGCTTGTTTCTAGAAAAATTGGTATTTTGTTTTTTTTTGTTAAATTTTTATCAGACTAATGAAATGATAATCAATAATGAAATAAAAAACTGGAAGACTTCATGAAAGATAATTTAATGATCACTTCTAAATCTATCTTTGATTACCAGAATGTATGTATGTAGTTGATATTTTTTATTCTTTATGCATATTAAAATACTGTATTTAACTATTTACAAATAATCTGAAGGCAAAATCTGAAAGTTGATTGGATTATTCGATTGTGACATTGATTTTGAAGATCAGTTTTCTCACGCATGATTACTAATTTGCATTAACTTGTTATATACAGCTTAAAATTATGATCATATATGATTATCAAGTGACAAACTCACAACTAATAAAATGCTAGATTATCACCCTTTGCGATATCAAGTAAATTGCATGTAGAAATTATAAAAATTTGAATTATACAGTATAGATATCAAAAAACTCAAATACTTAATAATTATATTAAAAGCATAGTATATATATTTATATCAGAATGATCTGGTCTAACATTAAAATTGAATTTGATTTGAAAATATAGTAAAACTAAAGTGGGAATCACAATTGTCCTAGTACTACTAAAAAAGTTTGCTAAAAAAATTTCACTGCTAGATTAGAGTTAGATTTTGCTATTAACTTAGATTAGCAATAGTTTTTCTGATACCAAAATTTTGCAAAGAAACTTTTTGTTAATGTGCAGAAAGTGTTTTTATAGATAAAATATTGAGTTATAATCCAATTTTTTAGTTTGTTTTGATTTGTTTTGTTTCTTCTACACAGCATCTAATCTTGAAATCTGATTGTTTAGCAAAATTTAATCGCACCAGAAGTCTAAACACTTTTGCAGTAATATGATCAGCCCAACACAAAACAAAACATGCATACAATAAGAAAAAAGAAAAAACTCCAAAACTAGTATTTAAATCAGCTTTTAAACATTAACAAAATATATCGAAAACAAATTTATATTTAGAAATGATCTTTCAAGGTATATAACCACAAATCTTAAACAGAAATATAACATAAAGCCAAAAAGGCTTATCCAGATATGCAATATCATATTGCAAAAATGTCTAGACTTCTGGTATGCCTGTGAAAATTTTTAAGTTAATAATGCTAGGACAGTACTATAAGCAAGTTGAGTTTGTGCAGCTTAATATAGACCAGTGGCTTCTAATCTGCATAATATAATCTAGCTATAAATATAATCATGTGATATTTATATTTAGTATGATCACTAATATGAAAATGGAAATTTTTTTGAGAGAAAGGCTGGGTCATAAATTGAGGTTAATTAGAGCTAAATTGATAATGGCTAGTGTAGAATTAAAACTGCATTTTTCTGTAGTTTTTTATAGTATCTATTATTAAGATATAATTAATATATATGAAATATTATTTAAAATGATATTCTTGATTATGCAAGATTGGTCCTGTTTTTGTTGCTACTTACCACTTTCTTGATCTGTTGACTTTTGTCAAACTTAAACAATTATTTCGAGGATATAATACAGATCTCAAGCAACAAGTTTGGGAAAATTACTGCATCTCCAACAATCTCAATATTATAAGTCATTTATATTAAAGTAAAGCATACATTGGTACATAATTATTAGTATGCTATTCAGTAAAGAATTTGATCAAAATTGCCACAAGTAATGCTTAAAAGCACTGGTGGCATCCCATCTTCACTTGTACAAAATAAAATAAATTTTTATTTAATAAAAATTATTAAAAATTTATTTTAAATAAAATCTTCTATATAGTCACTTATTATATTTTATAATATAATTGTGACTATATAGAGGTAACTTTATATCAGTTACATCTCTTTATAATCACAGTTTTTTGTATCCTGAAGGTGTAATTATAGAGGGAATAGACTGTATTTGTAATTGTATTTTTAGGTATGAAGGTGAATATTATTAGTAAGAGAATTTGAATACTTGTCCCAAAGGAGTTCAAAATGTAAAGGATCACAAAAAGAAGAAGTGTAGCAAATAAATGTCATAATTGGCTTCAGATTGTACTTGAGAGTCTTCTACTAAACACATATCTCATTTTGCATTATTTTGTAGTAGACCCAATGCAGCACATGCTTCTTTGAAAGTAGAATATAAAACTTCATTAACTGTGCAAAGGTAATTAAATGATGTTGCACCACAAACTACATTAAGTAACATTCTTAAATAAAATCATTCTCTTGCTGTAGGGTAATGAAGTAGATTTGCACAATTATATTTTTATATTGCTGTAGTTTCTATATATTAGTTTTTTTAACATAAACATATTGTGTAGAAAAATTGGCATATGTAAGATTTTTTACTGCTGGATATAATATATTAGCTTGTAATCATGCTATAAGTATAGTACAAATTGAATTAGTATGTGCAAATATATTTTCTACAGGCTCATTATTCAAAAAGGTACTCTATATTTGTTTTCTAGATGAAAATAAAGTTGTATAATTGTCAGGCTTTTAGTATGTAATTTGTAATAAAACAATTGTTATGAAGCTTCTGATGCAGAAACATATTGAGCATCAAGGTAAATTTTTATTTCATCATCATCATTTTCAAATTATTAGTTTTGTTGACTTTGGGTTATTATTTCTATAGTAGCACAATTATAACCTTTATAAACATATTTAAAAAGATATTTTATTATAGCAATTGAAGAACAAATTTTGATATTTATATAACAGTTGTATTTAGCTGAAAGATAAAGTTAAAAGGAATGACTCAATAGTTATTTAATGTTGTTTCACATACTTTTACAGTTCTATCATCATTTTTTTGCCTATAAACAGGATAACTATTAATATTAATAGCAGTACTTATCTAAAAAGACTTGGTATATTTTTTAATGCATATTCTATCCTTTATACAAGAAGCTTTTGGAAATAAAAAACCACAGTAACCATGCATCATAGGCTTTTTAATAGTTTCAAACATTTAAGGATTAATATCTTTATCAAAAATTTTTATAAAAATAATAGTGTTATAGTTATCAATAGTTTGAGGCTTATTATTTTGAGCAAGAATGAAAAGTATATGGACATGAAGTAATCCTCACTTTTAAAATTCTATAGTATAGATATGAGCAATTACTTTTCTAAAAATTTCATCTTTAAAATTTCTTTAAGCATCATCTTTAATTTTATATTAAAGATTCAACAACTAAATCAGATCTGTCCTGTGCTAATTGATTTGGAAGAAGAGAATTAGTAATATCTAGCCATTATAGATTGCAAGTCATTATAATAAACAGGTTAGGCTTTTCAACAACTTGCACAATAGCTATAGCATTATAATAGAGTTCTGTATTTGACAAAGCTCTCCTGTAAAACTTGATGGCAAAATAATTTATTATTCTATTTTGGTAGAATTAAATGTATTATCCTTATTATGAATCACATTTTGCAAACTATTGTATAATTTTATTAGTATCTGATTTTGATTATAGTATAAATAATTAAGATGCATTTGTTTCACAATTGCATATATATCTACAATCTACTGTTAGAAAGTTGTTTGAAGTGATATAGAACTACAGCTTTGTTTGATTAATTAAGATGTAATTAGTAAGCAAAATAATTCATAGCACTTACATATTTTCTTAAAATAATCATTTTATCATCTTCATTAATGTTAAATTAATCAACATTCTCTATAGATTCCTGAATTAAAGACAAAGAATAAGGAATACTATTTATAGAAATATTAGGATACCAACTATCTTCACCTCTAGGAAATATAAGATATAATGTAAGTGTTCATATGCAGAATATATTTTTGATATTCTTTGTAATTCTCCTTTAAGTAAGTATAACATGATATTATGATTCAGTATCTTATCAGTTTGCCCATCACTAACTATAATAGCTGCAACTTTTAAAGTTGTTAAAATATTGTAATATCTAGAATCTTATCTTCTATTATACAGGTCCAAATTTAAATTTGATAACATTTCTGTAAGATATCAGTGAGATATCAGATGCTAATTTATCTAAAAGCTTACTGATATTTGGTGCATATCTTTACCTATCAGCTTCTGATAGGCCTATCAGATATATAATATTTTTAAATAAAGTATTATATATCTGATAGGCCTATCAGAAGCTGATATTCTGCTGATAAATGAAAATATGTGCCAAATATCGGTAAGCTTTCAGATAAATTAGCATCTAATATCTTACTAATATCTCACAGAAATGTTACTGAAATTTAAAACTTAGACCTGCGTTATTCATAATAAGAATTTTTAAATTTAAAGATGAATTTAATTTGTGTATGTTGCTAACTTGTCTAAATATTCTACAACAAGAATTCATGTTGTACAATATTTGCTAAAGTTTTGCAAAAATTATAGGATTGAGGTTAGGCATTAGAGACATTCTATTTTGCAATTCTTGCTCAGTATTATACACATATAATTGAGCAAACTGAGAGCTAGGATCATTAGAAAATAAGAAGCCTATAGTATAATATATTTTACTATAAATATAAAACTTTATATATCACTTGTTTCTGTTATGTTATAATTTATTTTTGCATTTATAGATGTAAAAACTAATGCTAAATTATACATCCTAATATGTTATCTAAATAAATGTGCACTGAAATCTGGTCTAGTTAGCAAGGTGTTTAAAGAAGGTGACAATTACTATATAGGCAGGAGAGAAATTTTGCCTTCTGCATAACACATTGTGCTTTTTGTTTATCTATCCACAACAAAGCTTCACAATTGTGACATCTACTATCTATACTTTCTAGAGATTAATGGTCTAAACCTTGTAAATTCCATAGATAAATACATGCTCTTAACACTTTTATAAGATGTGTAATCAAAGAAGTAATTATAGATTGCTTAACAGGAATAGCTAATTCTTTGCCAGATGCAATGCTAAAACTGAAAGCTAAAAAAGAAAAGGTTAAAAAACTAAATTCACTTTTTAAATCTACCACTATGGATTGTGTAGAATCAACAAACTCCATATTTTGTTGGTTTAGTTTATCAAAGCAATACAAAAAATAGGATTAAAAAAAAAAAAAGATTAAAAAACTAACTTCACTTATTAAACCTACTACTAGTTTTTGAGATTGTTTTGGTCTTGTGAAATACACAGAATATATAGTTCTTCAGTTTACTATAGAATCTTGTTCATGTGCTAGCTACAAGCTTTCAGATCTTATGCAGTATAGGTGGTTATATATAAATTATTACAAGATTATAATATATAAAACCTATCTAATTTGAGCTAATTTACATTAGAACTCTAACCCTAACCTTAACTATTTATAAATTTACTTAATTTGATTCAAAATAGTTAATTTTTATATATTATAATTATATAATAATTATATTTAACCACCTATACTACATTTCAACCCAAGTGTTCTTTTAATAATTCAAGTTCATTTTGCTGTCTCACTGCTTCTCTTCTTATTTGAAAGTTTTTTTTTATTTTTTGCTTCAATATTATGTCTTTCTTTCTTTTTATTATGATATGTTCACAATTAAATCTTTGACTGTGTTTTTTAAAAGTTTTAGCATTAGTGATATAGGAAGTTTCAAGAACAAGGAACCCAATAACATCTTTGTGATAATCACATTATATGATTTACACTCCGGCGGCCTAAGTTAGAGTTAGTGTTAGGCTTAGATGATGGTATAGTTTAGGCTGATTTTATTTGTGCTAGTAAACAAATGACATCATTTCATAATTTCACGTGATGTAATGATTACTGGGTTCCTTGTTCTTGAAGTGTCCCAGTGATATTATTACATTGAGACATTGGAAAAATTAAATAAAAAAAATAAATAATAAATAAATAAAATAAAAGCTTAAAGCCTATTAAATAATAAGTTAAACAAAAACATGCTTGTAAAAGATGCAAATTATTAGCCATTAGATTACATAAAGAAATTTTTTTATATTGAGTAGATTGTGGCAGTATGCAATTATAAAACATGTGATAAAATTGCTTAATATAGAATAGATCAGAGTAATACATAAATAAAAGTTTAATTTAGAATAGATCACCATGTTACACAATATAAAGATTATTTATCAGTCACACGATTTGTCACATCTAAAATTTTACTATATGATCTTCACAAATTACACAAATCAACGAAATTACATTTTTAAAAATTTCACCCAAAACCTTAGTCTCAACATGTAGTGTTTCTTAAAACAAACTTATTGCTGAGCTTTCTACGAACCAAGCAGTATGAAAAATATAAAAAACGAACTTCTCTTTATAAATTACCACACCTTTGAATGTGGGCAATTATTTTGCCTTCTT